AAAAAAAAAAAAAAAAGATGAAAGGAGGGACAGGGTAAGCACTGACCCATGGGAAAAGGCCCTGCATATCCTCTGGCACAACCATGCTGAGTTCTAGTACAGGCTCCTGCACCCTGGTCCTGTCGTAATTCAGGGGACTCTGCCCAGGGCCATACTCTCCTAAACTAGTCCCTTGGTTTTTCATTCTGTATTTCCTCCTCTCCCTTCCTACACTTTGCCTCTAGGGCTGTGTATGTGGGGGACCCTCTATCAGTTGTTCCATCTTATAGGACCTAGCCACTATTTGCGTGGGGTGGGTGGATTTCAGTCAGGGAGCTCAGAGGGCCACAAAGACAGGGATCCTTTGAGTCCTCTGCTGAAATAAAACCAAGCCTGTCCCTCCTCTTCCCTATGCAGCCCCTACCTCAGCATCCCTGGTCCCCACATGGTGGCCCATCCATTCAGGCTGGGTCAACAGGGTGACAATGAGCAGGTCAAGGAGATGGCAGGGACAGGGGCCAAGGGGGCTCCTTCCTCACCCTTTCAGGACAATGAGGCCTCTGCCCCACAGGGGCAGCCCCTCTGATCATCACCATTATTACTTTCAATGTAGGACAATCGTACACTTGCCTGTTCATGAACTGTGTCCAGCCCCAGTGCCTGCTCTCTGGGGACAATGATGGACGAGGACATGGCCTCTGCTTGCTTCCCAGAGAAAACTGATTGGGGAGACAGGCTCCTCTGGGGTCACCAAAAGCATTGAGGGAAGGCTCTCTGGTAGCAGACCCTGTGGGTTTTCCTGCCCAAGGGCATCTGGATAGGAGGCCGAAAGGCCCCCACAGGCCTCTGGGTATCTCAGCCCCTTTGCTGACAGGAGCGCCCTCCACCAACCCCAGCCAGGAGCTAGGAGCTGCTCCCCTGACCTCTAGAGGACCCAGCACTCTGAACCCCCGCACAATCTGGGAAAGGCCTGAGATTCCCCCCTATTGGGATTCACATCACGGTGCAGGCGGCCCCAACTTCGGGTGGAATTAGACACGGCCTGGGTGTCCAAAGTGCAGGGTGGGGGCCATCCTGAGGCAGACAAACTTGGCAGCCGAGTTCCCTCACCTCACCCCGAAATTCTGCTCCCACAGTCGGGATTCCCCACCCGCCCCCGGTTCTGCGCCCCTTCTCCTTTGTTTGGCCGGCCTGCTCCCAGCCCGTCCTGCGCCCGGCGCCCCGAGCCAGTGCGCAGCTACCGTCGCTGCTGGGAACAATGCGGGCCAATGTCCCCAGGCGGGAGAGCCGGCTATGCAAATGCCCAACGGCCTGTGAGAATCCCGCTGCCGCCGCCGGCTTCCACCGTCTGAAAGGGGCTGACCGCTGGACTTGGGGGGAGGCAGTCACTGCATAGGGATGAGCTGTCGCGCCGAAGCGACCCGGACAGAGCACCATTGTCTGCGCCGCGGTCTGATCGCCAATGGAATCCGCCGAAGAATAAGGCGTAGGGTGACCGGAAACAGGCCTTGGGGCCAGGAGAAGTGGTGGTCATCTGTTCCCTGCGGTACCTACTCCTCTCCCCCCGCAAAGAGCTGTAACTCTGGGGTCTGGTCTACCCTACCGACTAGCTTGGTGGCCTGCACATTTCTCTGAACATAATCCTAGCACGAAGCTAGTGTCCTTCCCACCCTCCCCCATCCATTTTGTAACATATGGACCAGACTCTGACAGGTGTCCCTGAGGCCAGTTCTTTTCCAGAGCCCTGAGAAAAAAATACTTGTGTTTTGCTCCAGTCAAAGCAGGTTATGAGACAGAAAAGCTCCAAGGGTTCCTCTCTGGCCTGTGAGTCCCAGGCCTGGTCCAGGACTTTCCTCCTGCCTCTCTCTGCTATTCACTACCAGTTAATGAGCCCCACTTTTTAGGCGAGAGAGGCCAGCCATGGCAGGACTAAACTAAATTTCTCTAATGGTGTGTGTGTGTGTGTGTGTGCCACATAAAGTCCC